ATAAGACTTTATTTTTTTCAGATTCACCATTGTGGTTTAACTTATTTTCTGTAACTTCAGTGATAAAGTGGTGAGTAACTGTAATTTCTTGAGTTCGTCACATTAAAACGGACTTTTTTGTCTTGTTTTTTTTTTTTTTTTACTTCTTCTGCAATAAGACTTTATTTTTTTCAGATTCACCATTGTGGTTTAACTTATTTTCTGTAACTTCAGTGATAAAGTGGTGAGTAACTGTAATTTCTTGAGTTTCTTAAGGGTCTGTGTATGTAAATGAGTATGTTAACAAGAGTGCATTGTTGAAAGCATTGACTAGAATTATTAGAATGTAACCATTTATTTCAGCGCTGCTAGGTAATAAAGTTGGATGAGTACAATGCTTTAATAGAAATCATCGATAGACCTATCAGAAACTTATAATTTTGTTATCTTTTCAATTAAGGTTTTACAACATTTTATTTTGTTATTGTTGTTTTTTGTTTGGTATATTTTTATTTATTTGAATTCCAGGATAAATAAATGTATAGAGACAGTAACTGGACTGAGTTTCTTGGCGGGGAGGGGGAGGAGGGTAGGAAAAAGAGGAGCTGACACCAAGGGCTCAAATAGAAAGTAAATGTTTAGAAAATGATGATGGCAACATAAGTACAAATATGCTTGATACAATTGATGTATGAATTGTTATAAGAGCTGTAGAGCCCCCAATAAAATTATCTTTAAAAAAACAAACAAAACAACTTTGGTTTAGCGTACCTGAAAAACAACAACAAAAAAGTGTGTCTTGGGGTTATGGCAGCGGAGGTTAGAGACCAAATAAAAACAAATACAAAAAAGAAGAAAATATTTTAAAATTGTGAAAATTGTTGCAGAATTCTTTTTAATATGTTTTAAAGTATAGGCATTGTATATGTGTGGATTATATGTCAATAAATCTGTTAATGTTTTTTTATTCAAAAGCACCTTTTTAATAGACTTCTCCAGTGGATTTCTAATCATTGCTGAAGTTTAAGTGCTCCCTTCCCAGATAATCAATTAATGCTAGGACATTGATAAGGTGTAGCTAGAAACATAATGCCCACAGAATTTGCCCTCGATACACATGCTGACGTGCCCACACACTCATAAAGGTTTATTGGGCCCTTGAGTGCCACGCACTCTGAATAGCAAGGTCAAGATGACGGTGGCCCAGTTCAAAGCAGAAACTGATGAGCCCAAAGATTTGCTTGAGCCCGGCCTCAGCTGCTTACTATGGGCTTGGCTTTCCTTGAGTTTCTTTCTCTAAGCCTCAATGTTCTCCTTTGTAAAGCAGAAATAATACCCTCCTCATATGATTGGCATAAATATTAAATAGGATAAGACATGCAAATCTCGTCGCAAAGTCTTAGAATATAGTATACTGCCAATAAAGGGCCGTTGTTTATTGTTATTATTATTAATAATTATTATGATCAGTGAGCTTGCATTCCAGGCAGGACTAGATTTCTTGAAAAATAAGAGCACCTCCACAAAGGAACGAGGAAAGGTATGCTCCTGTTGACTAGCACTGCTCCAGAGCTTGGTGCGTTCAAGCAGACTTGGTTAGCTCCCGCCCTGTGTATCCGGAATCTGGCAGAACTGAGATGGACTCACTCATGTGGCCTCAACCACATGTTTCATGGGAGTAATGGTGGTGACTGGACTACATGTGATCATTGTCCGCCAGATGGCTCAGACACGCAGTCGTGGTCACTAGGTTCCCAAAACCAATAAGACCGAGCACGACCCAAGGAGCAAGCACTTTTCCAGTAAGAATGACCCTGCCAACCGGTGGCAGTTCAAACACACCAGCTGCTCCATGGGAGAAAGATGAGGCCATCTGTCCCCATAAACAAATGTATGTGGAAACCCAGAAACCCTATCGAGGGTCACTGTGAGTTAGAATAGACTCAATGGCAGTGCATTTGCTTTTTGTTCTTTTTGTACCACATTTGCTAATGTCACATTATCCAAAGGAAGACGTGTAGCCAAAGCCAGATTCTGTGGGTGGAGAAAAAGCCCCACCTCCTGACTGGTGTGTATAGAAGAAGGGAGAGAATTTGTGGCTCTTCTGGCCATCTATCCACCCTGGGTTTTATCAGCTGTTTTTTTTTTTTATTGCTTTTTGTCTTCTTTTAGTTTGTAGTTGCTACTGTCTTTCAGACTTTCACCTGGGTGTTTTATTTAACTCTTACAGTAATGTCCTGAGGTCAGTGGCATTGTTCTCATTTTAAAGAGGAGAAAACTGATGAACCAAAGAACTAAGAGACATGCCCACATTAATCTCCAATGTTTATTTCTATTACAGAATGGTGTTTTAGGTGCTGTCCCATGTTGCTGAAATGGTCACCCCATGAAACAGAAGGTTTTGCTTTACTTAATAACAATTTGGTTTAAATGAAGTTCTAAAGGCTAGTTTTCTTTCCAAACGTATGCCTTGAACCATTGAGTCATGTATGTATTTGGTATATGAAAAGTATATATATGGAATTTTAAAAACGTTACTATCCTTCAAGCTTTAATAGAGCTCAAATTCACCAGTGAGCTCTCCTTAATGGAAGACAAGCCCTTCTGTCCCTGTCATGGTTTACAGTCTCAGAAACCCTAAGGAGTAGTTCCCCTCAGCTCTGCCTGCGGGTCGCTAGGAATCAGAATGCCTGGATGGCAGCGGGTTGGTTGGCATTTGGGTCAGGCTTTCAGGAAACTTACAGGAATGTTTTTGGTTTGCCCAGATCCCGTGCACACCCTGGATCCCCGTCCAGATCGGACATGACTGAGGCTCTTCAGTGGGCCAGCTATCACTGGCGGCGGCTGGTCGGCAGGGCACACGGGGACAGCGATGCGAGACCGTACAGCTATTCCTCCCTGCTCATCTGCGGTGGCAAGACTCCCCAGAGCCCCAAACCGGCGGGGAAGCACCGCGTAGTGATCCCTCACCTCCAGCACTTCAAGGACGACTATGAACAGTTTTCTGGCACCTACGTGAATAACCGAATACGAACAACGAAGTACACCCTTCTCAATTTTGTGCCAAGAAATTTATTTGAACAATTTCACAGGTAGTGCTTCATTTTTTTTTTTCTTGTTAGAATTTTTTGTCGTGCCCATGGTGTTAGAAAATGTTTCCACTGTTTCTTGCATGCTATGTGAGCCCAGATTTGTAATATTCTCCTTGATGATCGTGGTAAGCATCTTGGGCGGAATGATGAGGCTTTATAGTGAGCAGCTCAGGAAGAAAGGGGGTTGGTTGCTCCTCCCCAAAGTTGAAAGTCCACAGAATACGTTCGACTCCCCCAAACATCACGACTACTAGCCTACTCTTGACCAGTGCCCTTACCAATTACATAATCACAGATACATAGGACTCATGTGCATTTTGTGTGCTCTATGTGTTATGAAGCTGCACTTTCAATAGAAGTTACAAAGATATTTTGCCAAAAGTACAAGGTTTTCCAGCCAGCTGACATCTCTGCAGTGATGGTGTCTTGAATTTTCTTTCTTTTTTTTTTTAGTTCACAGTGGTCCCTAGTTGACTTCATTTATCTTGAAATGGCAGGCAACCACAGGTGCCCCTCTCAATCTATAGTACATACCAAGCAATTCAGACTTTTCTTGTGATGGTATGTCTCTTCGCTGCTTCTTGGGAGCACTACCAGCATCACTAGTGGCACTTTGTGTGGGTTCCATGACGTGATTCAGGGTTTATGGTACTGCACTAAACACGATGAAAACTATGTGAGAAGCCGGGAGAGCTCGCATCACTGTGATACCCAGTCTACTAGAGACAAGCTGCTCACCCAGTGCTACTTCAGCCTTGGGTCTTCTGACTTTCCCTTAAAATACAATTCACAAGGGAGCAAAAGTGAGCTGGATTGTCATTGCAGAACGTCCTTGCTCATTAATATAAAGAAATAGACCTCTGAACAAAGTGCAGGCATCCAAGGTGCTAGATGACACAATGACATAATTCAGTTGAATATGTTATATATATTTATTGGAGCTTTCCTGTTAATTTAGTTACTGAATGGAATGCAAAAAAAGAAGTGTATTTTTCCTTCCCTTTGGAGTTTTACATTTGCACAGGAAATCCAACTGTGGGTACAAACAGACTAAAGACATAGTGGAGGGGGTGAGTGTTCTAAAGTGCTGTTAGATAACACTCAAAAAGGGAAATGAAAATAGTAACAGGAGCAATAGATTGCAAAGTGACCCTGGAACTTGGGTGTGGAAAGTTGATAGATTTTTCAGTACAGGGGTGTGGGCAAAGCATGTTTCAGGTTCAAGTATGATCATGAATAAGAGCAGGAGGGCAGAACCATAGGTGTCTGGTTTCAGGTATAGGAAATAGCTCAATTTGGCTAATCTTCAAAGGAGTCATAGAAAAATTCCATGATCTTTTCATTCATTTTTGTGTACAAATTTTTCAATCCCCCTCATGTGTATCCCTCTCATACAGTTTATGTTGAAGAGCAGTAGGAAACAAAAGTTAGAAAGATACCATATATACCTGTGTATAAGCTGAATTTTCAGCACATTTTTAATGCAGTTTTTGTGGTAAAATTAGGTGCCTCGGCTGATATTCGGGTCAGCTTATACTCGAGTATATACGGTAAGTTATGACTCACCACGAGGGACTAGAACTGAAAGGCCAATTTGTAGACACTGGACAAGGATAAAGAACTGAGAGGCCAATTTGTAGACACTGTTTTTGAATGCGGCAATAACGTATCTATAGTGCACTGTGGGGAGGCCCTGGTACTTACAACAGTGACATGGTGGGCTGCCCACTGAAAGATTGGCAGTTCATGTTCACACAGAGGCATTTCAGAAGTCAGGACTGATAATCTATTTCTGGAAAATTTTTGGAGCGTCCTTCAACTCTAATGCTCCTGGGATGTGTAGACTGTTGAGCAGTGTGGAATCACCTTGTAGAACGTGATTTGGTCTTTGATCTTCATTCTCTGGAGCCATGCCATTAATTGAGGCTCCTGAATAACAGAGGCCAGAGGGGCGCAGATGTTGACTAAGCCTTAGGAAGCAAAGTGTAATCTAGCAGGGTCATGCGGTGGTGGCGAGGCCAACAAGAGCCTTGAATTCTGAGGTTTACAGGGCCTTCCAGGTCGGTGACCATGCAAGGGAAAACACAGCATTTCCTTCATGGAAGACTTGAATCAGGACCTGTGCCAGACCTTACCCGATGCATCTCTTTGTTTCTAGCCTTTTGGGTTGTGATCAAGTCAGAGTTTAAACATGGTGTACTCTCAGTGAATTAAGGACAGGGAGAGCCAGCAGGAGCTTGTGCCTGCTTCTTTTGTGAGTCTGAAAGAAGCCGCCCTATGGTAAGAGCCCTGACCCATCTCTGGGTGGCTAGGGTCAGAGAGCGCGCGCACGTGCGCGCGTGCGTGCGTGTGTGTGTGTGTGTGTGTGTGTGTGTGTGTATGTGTGTGTGTGTGTGTGCCATTGGTAACAAGGATGAAGACATGGGAAGGTGAGGGCTGGATTCATTTCAACATTTGGGGAATTGGATGCATGCTTATCTCTAATTAGCAACAAAGGTGAGATTTGTGTACTGTGTCCCTGCTGTAGTGCAATTATTCTTTTGAAAAGTTTGATGATCACTTACTGTGGAGGAGGGTGGGCCGGAAGTAGTACACATTCATGGGGCCAATCGGGATTAAAGATTTTGTGTTGGTTTTGTTTCAAGAAAAGGCGGCACTTGAATTTACATCATGGCCCCAAATGAGTAGTCAGTAGGCAAGTACTCGTATTTGAAGATGTAAAATTGAGGGGGTGGAAGAAGGTCCCACAGAAAGTGGTTCTGAATATCAGACATGAAGACAGCAGCACCCTCTGGGGTGGAGGGTGGACTAAGGAGTTTCAATATTCAGCCTTGTTTGAGTCTCACTTTCAGGGTAACATTAACTCATGAGGACTAGAGGGGTTTGCTATTGTTGATGTTTTCATTTCTCTAACTCATTAACTAAATTTTCCCTAGTTTCTTTTCTCCCTCTTTCCCTTTGGATTGTTGAAAAAGAGATTGTACTTCTGATGACACTTGACATCATGTGTTACACAACTCATGACTGTCACACCCATATATTTGCAATGACTAAATAAGCAGTACCTGTTATTATTAAGAGCCAGCTGTTTCGGTGAATAGTAAATGGATTGTTTCAGATGTACTCAGAGTGGTAGATTTCGCTAGTTCTCTGTTTTGAGGAATGTGTAGCATCCAAATCCTCCCGTAAGACACGTGTAGGCAAACACTCTAGGCATTTGGTTTCATTTGCTGCCGCCGTGTGGAGCATGCGCTGACCTGACGCTGCGCTGTGTTTGTTTGCGTTGCAGAGCCGCCAATTTATATTTCCTGTTTCTAGTTGTCCTGAACTGGGTACCTCTGGTAGAAGCCTTCCAGAAGGAAATTACAATGCTGCCCCTGGTGGTTGTCCTGACCATCATCGCAATTAAAGATGGCTTGGAAGATTACCGAAAATATAAAATTGACAAGCGGATCAACAACTTAGTAACTAAAGTTTACAGCCGGTAAGTGTCTGGAGGTTTGCTGAGGAATACGCGTGTATCCTTTAGAAACATGCAATATAAGCGCCCCTCCCCCTTATTGTAAGTTATATTTTCTGTCAGGGTTTCATTCCCTTGAACGTGGGCTTGTTATGAGTCGGAACCAACTCGATGGCAGCTAACAGCAACAAAAAATATACTCCATTTTTCTGAGAGGAACCTTAGCTTTTCCTTTTTCTTTATAAAATAGTAAAAGGAAAAAGTATTTTGAGAATTGATTTTAATGTATTTTAATTTGCCTTTGTTTACATTAGCTTTCCAATGGGTATATTTTTTAGACTGAAGATCTTTCTCTAATAAAACAAATAGAGTCACGATGTGCGATGCCCGTTCTTTGAAAGGGATTGTCATTGTTGTCTGGTGAGGAGGATTTGCTTCTGACCCATCGCAGCCCATCTGCTGCAGAAGGGGACTCTGGCCCGCCTGGCGCCATCCTTACAATTGTTGTTATGTTAAAGCCCGTTGTTGCCGCCTCTGTGTCAATCCATCTTGTCTAGGGTCATTCTCGTTTTCCATTGCCCCTTACTTTAACAAGCATGCCTTTCTCCAGGGACCGGTCCTGACAACATACCGCATCTGTTTTGAATACATCCCAATTAATCGAAAGAATCCTCAGCTTTTTTGTAATAATGTAAAAATATATTAATGTGTTTTAATGCATATGCATGACTTATTGAGAAGGCCCAAAGAAGAAAAATACCAACAATATTAATTTCCAGAGGCAAATAGTTATAATATATGATATATATTTCCTTCAAGTCTGTGTCTATATTTATGTGTGTTTTACAAAACTGGGATTATATGCCATATATGATTTTTAAATTTCTAATTCTTTAGCCTAATTTTAGCTATAAACACTTCCCATGTCTCTATCCTTCAAGAAAATGCTTTTCTAATAGCTGCATTGTCTATTACTCCATATGATATCTTATGACTCCATGGTAATATATTTGAATACTTTGCATATTTACATATACGAGAGATTCAAAAAGTTTATGTGAAAACGGAACTAAAAGGTAATGGAATTTCCCCCCAAACTCCTTGAAGCTCCTCTTCCCCCACCTCACCTATTTTTTTTAATGTCTGCTTCAGTGAGTATCCATATATAAAAACTTTTATATAGAATTAATAAATCAAAGAAGAGGAACAAAGTTAAGTCCTTATTTTGTAGTTTTGTATGAAAATGAATTACAAAGTTTATAGTTCACTTTCCGGCCTTCCCTTTCATGAGAACTGCTAGGGTTTTTTAGGAGATGTAGAGAAAACAAGGAAAATAGCTTTTTCCCTTTTGTGAGATACTTTGAAATATTCTTGGATGAGGAAAAATTAGTTCTATTTTTTTCCCACACTTACATCTAAGCTAAGAAACCAGAAAAACTTGTGTATTTTATATAAAAATATGTCCATGGTTTTCATTTTAAAGTTACACAGCATTCTATAGATATAGAACTATGAAATAATAAATAAGGTTCAATTGCTTATTATATGTCAGGCACTGTATTAGGAATAAAGAAGTAAAATGGTACTACAGTCTCTGTCATAAAAATAACTATAGGAAATAGTATTTTTCAAAGATGAATGATGATCTAATTTATATATCGACCACTTTTGAAATTATATTTGCCAAACTTAGAAAATGGAAAGAATACTTCTTATATGTATTCCAGTATACCAATTTGAGGATGTAAATAAGTTTATTTGCTTTTCTGGTTGTTACCGTCCTATTCTGCCACTAAGTAGCTGTCACCTTGGATCGTGTCATTGCTTGGCGCCATCCTGTCAGCTCGGAATCATTGTGACCCTGTGTACCGCAGAAGAAAAGGCTGCTCGGTCCTGCACCATCCTCAGTGCTACGTGGGAGTCTTTGGGTGGTGTAAATGATAGTGTGCTTGGTTACTGATAGGAATATTCCCAATTCAGTTCCATTCTGAAAAAAGCCCTGTGGCTCTACTGCCCAAAATTCAGCCAGTGACAAACCTCAGGTGCACATACTCCTCTGACACACATAGGGTTGCTATGAGATGGAATCACCTCTCTAGAAACTGGTTACTGGCTGAGTGCTAAGGCAGCCATCATAATTATTATAGGCTAATAATGACTAGATAGAATTATCATATTGCCAAGCCATTTAATCAACGTTTGTGAATTCTTTATATACTATATAATATACTTTTACATAAGAATAATGATAGATAATTTTTAATATTAACATTGCCTAATGGGAAACCTGAGTTTTTCTCTCAGGTATCCTTTTAAATGTAGGCCCATAGCCCATTTGATCTCACGCATAGAGGTCATGTTAGATCGTTTGCATATAATCTAAAAGATGAAATGCAACATTCTAGACAGTTATTTAAGTAACTTCCCAGGATACCACTTTATTTTTGCATGTCCTAGCAAACTGTGATAACTCTTTCTGTCTTTACCTGTATTCTGTGTTATTTACTAATGATTGATGTTATAGAAGAAAAAAGGCTTCCATCCCCACATGTACTCCTCTAGTTGTTTTGGAACAATTATTATAAGGATATAAAGGGAAAACGGTAGGCTATAAAACCATGCCTTGTTGATGCCTTCTTAAATTCCAATGAAATACAAATAAAGTACTTTAAAGATCAAATTATTTCCCAGCAAAATAAACGTGAAAGGTAGGACCATTCAATTTAGCAAGCTTTTGGGAGAAGCATCTTTGATTCTTATTTGTAACATGTGATTTTACACAAGGTGCTTAATTTCTTTGTGAAAATATCATTAGGAAATAAACATTAGTCTGCAAGTTCAACATTTAAACCTAATTACAGCCTCAGGTTAGAATGAACTATTCTACAAACCCTAAGATTGCCTTTAAAATATTAGCCATTTGTAAGGCTCTTTAGAGTTTGTTTCAATACTAATGTTTCTTGAAAGTAAGACTACTATCCATTCAACAATCTTTGAGTGCTTATTTCTTGGAAGTTTAAGGTAAAAAGTACTGGTGACAGAGTGGTTATTCGTGGGCTGTTAACCACAACATAGCAGTTCAAAACCACCAGCTTCCCCTGGAGAGAAAGTTGAGGCGTTCTACTCCATAAAGAATTAGTCTCAAAACCTGCAAGGGCAGCTGCACTGTACTATATGGTCCCTATGAGTCCGAATTGACTCGAGGGCAGTGGTTTGGATTTTTTTGTTTTACTATGTGGTAAGCATTAAGAGATTTGGAGATTTTGGAAAAAAAATTGATACAATATTTGCCTTCAAGGAATGTACACTATTTTCTGATCATTAAAATTTACCACTTTGTTGATGTTTTGTTGTTGCTGGTGTTGTTGCCTTTAATTGGGCGCCAACTCATGGCAACCTTATGATGTGGAGAGAATGAATGTGTTGCCCAGTCCTATCCCATCTTTATTATTGTGGGGTTTCTAAGCTTATTGTCGCAGCTACTATGTGGTGCCATCCAATGTAAGGGCTCGTCTTCCGGTAACGTAGCTCACTGCCACTGAGCCCTTTCTGATTCATGGCAGCCCAATGAGGCGGGTTAGAACTGGCCCGTGGGTTCCCCAGACTATAACTCTTCACAGGCATAGAAAGACTCGGCTTTCTCCCTGGGAGCAGATGGTGATTTTGAACTGCTGACCTTGTGGTTAGCAACCAATGAGTAACCACTATACCAGCAGAGTTCATCTTCCAGCAATACATTGAACAGAAAAATTTTCTAATCTCTAGCGTTTTCCTTAGCTAAATTGCAGAAGTAAACCACCAGACTTTTCTTCCTAATCTGCCTTATTTGGAAGGTTTCCCTGAAGCCTCTGTACCCTGGATGACTTTATTGGTGTTTGAAATCCCGGGAGCCTCCAGAATCACAGAAACCGCAAACACCACATTACTGCAAACCGATAAATGTGTGGGAGTGGGTCTTAGGAGGTTCCAAATACTAGTTATTCCTAACATTTCAGAAGAATTTCATGCAGCAGCCATTCAAATATCCACCCATTCTTTCTTTAAATTCTGTGAAATAAGAAGTGGAAGTCCACATTGCCCACCTCTCATTATAACCACCTCATTTCCTTTGGTGGAACCACTATTAGGAGTTCAAAGTGCATATTCTTCCTAACTTTGCTCAAGGCTTACATAGTAGAGCTGTTTGATATTTAACATGGTTTTAAAAAAATTAAGTTTTACTAGCATATAATTCACAAATAATACAGTTCAATAGTTCAGTTGTATTAAGAAGTTTGTGTAATCATCACCACAAACAATTTTAGAATATTTTCTTCATTCTTGTACTAATCATTACTAGTTCCATATTCCCCCCCACCACCTCTCCTGCCATACCACCAAGGAACCATTAATCTAGTTGTTGTCCCTATAGCTTATTTATTCTAAATTTCATTTATAGGAAAACATTTTTGAAAACCCTAAGCTAATAAAAAAAAACCAAAAAAAAAAAAAAAATGCAATAAAAAAGAAAGCAGAAAACATTAAAGTCTAGAACAAATCTATAATGGATCTAAAGGGAAATCAAATAATAAGGTCTAAATTTTAACCTAAGTGCACCTGCACTAATTGACTTCACAATGTTCTCTGTCTGATAACAAGGCTATTCACATCCCTCAGCTGTGGTCCGAGGGAATTCACAGAAGGCTTAATCCATGTATGGACCCTGCAAATGGATTTTAGGCTTCCACTAGCATCCATAAACTTTTGCAAACCAGGTGCTCACAATTTTAGCTCTGATACCATTCTTTCCTTCAAATTTGGGTTTTATTGTTTATAATCCTTGGATACACAGGCTCGTGTGCTTCTTCTATGTGGACTTAGTTGACACCTCATGTAAATAGCTGCTTGTTTGAAGACAAACTTTTAAGAACCCATATTCTATTCCTTCTGATAGACTGGCACCATCTAGTTTCTTCTTCACCACACTTTGTTATGGCACTTACATCTTCACTGATCTCTTCATGAGGAGGGGCATCAAGCTGGGTCACATCATAAGAACTAATTGTTCACAGGTTAAAGCTAGAATTAAGTTTGAACCCCAAATCTGTCCATATTTCTATGGTTCAACTTAGAGACATCATTGTCCGAGAACATTATCAAACATCCACCTGGGACATAAGATAATTCTACTGATAGTGTCATTAATTTAGCCAATGGTATAAAATTAACATTTTAAATTGTATTTTTGGTGAAAATTTACATAGCAAATTAGGTTTTGATTTAACTGTACAAGAATAAAACTGACTGCCATCAAGTCACATATGACTAATAGTTAGAAGAACCTCTAAGGGTTTCTGAAACTGTAACTGTTTGGAGGAGCAGACAGCCTCATCTTTCTCCTACCAAGAGGCTAGTGGCTTTGAACTGCTGGCCTTGTGGTTAACAATCCAACACCTATTAAACAGTGCCACCAGGGCTCCTATATATATGTATGTGTACATGTACCTTTATATCGGTCTGTCTGTCTATCTGTCATCTGTCTTTATTAATCATGCTCATTCACTGCCATCAAGTTGAGTCTGACTCACACTTACCCTAGGGGACACAGCAGACCTACGTCTGTGGGCTCCCAAGACTGGAACTCTGTATGGCAGTAGAAAAGCTCATCGTTTTCTGGAGACATGGATGATAATGCCCAACTACTTTGGGTTAACAGCTCAACATACATAACCCAGCATACCACTCCATCCTCCCTATCTCCCACCCATGCCTACCTCCCCTATAAGCCTTTGCATCAGTCTTATCTCTATGCATCTACTCCTTCTGTGCTTCACAAACTGGAAAACCCAACCGAAACAATAAAAAAACCCAAACAAAATAAAGTGGTAAGGATAAAATAATAATAATACAGAAATAAAAATACAGATAATGAGTAAGAAAGAAAAGACCACCATGAATATATAAAAAGCCAGGGAGGAAATTTTTGTCATGGAACAAGTAAGAAATACTTGCCCCTAGAACAATTTCAGGTTGGGTCAAGAGGGAGGTCAACTGAGTAAGTATCAAGTTTGATGCAGTATAATCACGATTACAATGATCTATTCCTGATACTAAAGCTGTTTGAAACCCTAGCCTGTGACTGGAAGGGATTTGCCAGCATCTTAATCTGACTAGATACTGTGCAGGTGGGTTTTGGGCTCCCACTGCCCTCCATAGGCTTCTACAAATTGGATGTTTGCAATTTAGACTCTGATATTTTCCCTTTGTCATACTTTAATTTTGTTATTGTTATCTTTGGAACACACAAGCTGGTGTGCTTCTTCTTTGTGGACTTCACTGACTCCTTGCTTAGAGGGCTGCTTGTTTGAATACAAGCCTTTAAGACACCTTTAAACCCTTACCTGATATAGGCTTCCTTAAGATTAGTTACAGAAGCTGGATTGTATGAAGAGGAGCGTGGTATCAGGATTGGAGAAAGGCTCATTAACCACCTGTGATGTGGAGATGACACAACCTTGATTGCTGAACGTGAGGAGGACTTGAAGCACCTGCTGATGTAGATCAAGGGTTGCAGACTTCAGAATAGATTACAAGTCAATGTGAAAAAAAACCAAACTCTTCACAACTGGACCAATAGGTAACATCATGATAAAGGGAGAACATTGAAGGTGTGGATGCGTTTTGTCTTGCGTGGAGCCACAATCAATGTTCAGAGATCCAAAGATGTATTGAGCAATCCGCTGCACAAGACCTCTCTAGATCTTGAAAAGCAAAGTCCTTTTGGGACCAAGGTGCCCCTGACCCACGCTATGGGTTTCCCATTGCATCATCTGCATGTGAAAGTTAGACACTGAATAAGGAAGACTGAAGAAGAATCGAAACATTGGAATTATGGCGCTGGCAAAGATTATTGAAAGCACCATGAGCTACCAAAAGAAAACCAAATCCAGCACAGAAGGAGTACAACCAGAATTATCCTTAAGCAAGGATAGCAAGGCTAATTCTCACACACTTTCATCAGGTTGTCAGAGAGATGAGTCCCTGGAGAAGGACATCATGCTTGATAAAGTCGATGGGCAGGGAAAGAGAGGAAGGCCCTTGTGGAGATGGGTGGCGCAGTGGCTGCCACAATGGGCTCAAACCTAAGAACAACTGGGAGGATGGCTTGGGCCCTGCAGTGTTCCCTCCTGTTGTACAGAAGTCACTGATGAGTCGGAACCTACTCCGTGACACCCAAGAGCCACAACAAAATGTTCTCCCCGACTGTAGTCATAAACCCTTCCTATGAAACCTTACTTCTCTTTTTGGTCCCTTGTAAGCCATGCTTTGGGTCTTATATCTAAGAGTCGCTTGTTTTTGTCTCAATCTATGTGTGTTCAGTTTGGTTTTCTTTTTTAAGCGTCTGTCTTTCTCAACATAGGAAAGAGAAAAACTATGTTGACAGATGCTGGAAAGATGTGACTGTGGGGGACTTCATTCGCCTCTCCTGTAACGAGATCATCCCTGCAGATATGGTCCTGCTCTTTTCCACTGATCCGGATGGAATCTGCCACATTGAGAC